TTCCTCTTGAAGAACCACCACACAGTGCTGACTGACCTTTCTCGAGGCTTCTGCTTCTCAGGTATCGTTTCACTGCTGGGGTGAGTGGCAGCAACAGTGACAGCTGCAGAAAGGCCTCTGCTAAATTCTTTTCAAAGGGAAGTATTTGGTATTTGTAAAAAAAAAAAAAAAAAAGTTCCATGTGCCTGTGGATCTGTTAGGAGAAATTTAAAATATCTCGATAGTTTTATAATGAAATGTAGTTATCTAGTAACTGATTAATTTTGTGGAAAACCAAAACTATGCCTTGCTGTGAGCTGCACTATGGGGGAGCAGAGGCAGGGCCAGAGGATGAACAGATCAGCTCAGAAGCAGAGTGAGCAGCAGTTCAGACGTGTCTGAGGGACAAACCTAAGTCATATTCAAAAAAGCTCTGCCTGATGTTACTTTCCCCAGTGTTGTTGCCGTGGATGTAAACAGTCAGGCAGTGTTATAGTGCACCACTAATACAGTTCACAATAGCTTCTAGCACAAGTGAGGGTTTGTAGGATCAACTACTGACTCTTGAGGGACAAAACCAGGTCAGAGTAGTGACAGCAGGGAATTTTCAGTCAGGAATCCTGGCTCTGGTCTAATGCTCTGACTGCAGTCTAAACCTCTTTAGGCATTGTTTTTCTCAGTGCTGAGATTTTGTATATGTGTTTCATAACTTGCTGTGGTTTGCAGGGTTGCCTGGTTTGCATGCTCCAGCCTTGGTAAATCAGTGTATCTTAGCATTTTGAAACCTTGTTATCATGTGGAATTCCCTTTTTTGTTCCAAAATTGCTGCTCTTATCCAGATCTTCTAGCCAGGGTATGGAGAGACTTTGCACGAGAGCCTTTCTTTGGCAAGGTTTCTTTTGAGGGCCAACAACACACACTGATCTTTCCTCCCTCTGTAGAGCACAGCACCTTGTTCTGTGGGAGGGGATAAAGCAGCAGAACATGTAGATAGATCTGTTTCACTTTTAGTTCTCCCACTGATCTGGAAGGCAACTGAGAGAATTTCTAATTTTCCTCTGCTGTGGTTTATAATCTTGATGCTTCAGTATTCCCATCATTCACACAGCAATAATCTTGTTTAGGTTTTGTAAAGGTGAGGGGCTTTGAGATAGATGGATGAAAAGTACCACTTTGGGTCTCCAAACCCCTGAAATCAGTGAAGATTTTCTTTGCCTTAAATAGACTTTGGATTTGTTCTTTGGAGAGCAAAAAAGACTACAAAGATTCATTGTTTTGCCTACTCCGTAGCAACTGACAGCATAAAGCCTTTTCCCAGATGTGTTTGTTTAAAGGCTTTATAAGTTAAGTTTTAGAAATGAACTGAAGTTATAGTTATTGTTTTTATGCTGATTTTTGTGTATTGGCATTAAAAAATGAAATAATCTAGTACAGAGCCACAGAAAATGCAGAAATGTGTATGAGAAAAGATAAATCCACTTTGGGGGGACACAAAACTGGGATGAGTACAGGACCACGTTAGCTTTAGAAGAATTCCTTGGCATACTTGAGAATTACCATGCAATTCCAGGTGATGTGGGAATATTACGATACTTTGTATGGTTAGAGGATCAATAACTATTCACTGATAATTCTTGCTGTGCACCAAAAGAGAATAATGTGGAAGAGGATTTTGCTGTACATCCTTGAAACTGATCTGTCCTGATCTTTTTTACTGAATACTTGGTTTACATTAGGTGTACAGGTAAGCATGGGTGGAGGGAGAGCATGACAAACAGAATTCACCATGGGAGGCAGAAAGTGGAGGATCCACATGGGTTAGCATATTTTTTTCATTAATATCCCCCCAAATCCCACTGTGAGAGGAATAACAGGTATTTTGACCTGTAGATGCAATTTATTGTACAATGCTGCATGGTTGTATTTATACTCTGCAGGAAGAAAACTACTCCCTCGTAGTTTCTTCTCGGGTTTTTTTGCCTGTGTAACCCTTTGCTTTTATTCAAGCAAAATGCAAGACAAATGCTCATTTTTCAGCCTTTTAAGATCTTGGAAATAATGGTGTATTAAATGTGATTAAGTTGGGAATTACCCTTTAAGCAGGGTCATAATTACTGGAGATTTAGATGGTATATTGTACAAATTGCTGTGTGCTCATAATTACAAATTGAGTTTGTTGCACTCTGGGGGTTTATAAACTTTGTTTTAGCTGTTAACACATTAAATAGCAGTGATTTATGTAAATTACTGGATAAACCAAAATTTCAGTGTTGCGTTTAATCTAAGGTTTAATTATATTTCTGTATTAGAAATAAAATAGGGTTAGCTTTAGCAGGGAGGGTTGAATGTTCTGAGAGAGTCTTTCACTGCTGAGATATTATTGTAGTTTGAAAGTGCTGTTTGTTGGGCAACTGACTGGAAACGGCAGTGGTCCAAAGTGAATGAAGCAGCAGCTGCAGTGAGTGAGCTGCTTGTCACAATAAGCTCTTCCTGTGGTCAGCTAACCCACTCACTTCACAATTATTTCCCTCAAACTTCTGGGCTGGTCTGGAGAGTGTAAAATCATGCTTTAAAATCTTTGTTTACTTCCTCTTCAGAGAGATTTCCCAGTTCATTTTTGCTTAAGTCAAGTTGGTCTAACGGAGCAAAGATCATTTTGTGTTATGCTGTTTAGTTGTGCTCCAACAAATTGCCAGGAGTAAAGGTAGTAGGACATGCAAAGTTACTTTTTGACCTCCTTACACTGCTCTACATATTTATACACTATCTTAGTGGCAACTCTAATGCTAGTTAGGTGTTAAAATAACAGCAGGAGGACTACAGAGAATATACATCCTACCGGTTCTGCCAAAGCTTCCTATGCAAAGTGCAGATCAATAAATGTTATGGAAGCCCATGTTTGGCTCTGTGTTGGCAGAAGAGCCTCTCCTGCCCCCATCTTCTGAGGCCTGAAACTTCAGGGGCCTAAAACTCTGTGTGTTCAGCACCTCTGCCATCAGGATGGCAAAGAAACTTAATGCCACCAAAAATTGTCCAGAGAAGTCATAGAGATCTCTGCTAAATCACTACCTGAGACAGGGTGTATTGTGCAGTGTGGATTGCAGTATGCTTTTACCGGAGGGAAAATTGAATTTAATTGAATTGAATACACTGTTGATTATGGTTGAATTAAAATGGTTTTGGAATGTTGAAACATTCACAAAAAATCACTCCAGAAATAACTGCAGCAGGCTGCCTCAACTCAGAAACCACAATGTTGTCCGCGTAGTGCAGCAAGAATTTGTTTTTCTGTGTTTAATTCCCCCCGTTGGAATACATGTGAGATCTTAAATGTGTAGATGATTTGGGCATTTAATCTCTACTTTAAATTTTAACAACATATTCAAGCAAGAAGTGATCTAAAAAAAAAACTTTGTATCAGAATGGTCAAAACTAAATTGGGAATTCTGGATGCTTGACATTGATGGGGGGGAAAGACATCTGTAACAATTATCCACGCAGAGTTTGGAATGGGATATGTTCATATTGCTTGGTTATTTGCTGATCTAGCGTGATCATATCTGTAGAAGGAAGATTGTGTTTGAAGTAGCTTCAGAAAAAAGCACATTCTTCAGAAAATTCTGTGACTGCTTTTGAGGTCAGAGCTTTCCAGCTGCCCTTTCCAATATCTCCTTCACAGCCCACGCTAAAACTGTCTGCACTTGGTTCGTAAATGGAAACTGGTTTCCGAAGAAGTTGACTTTTGGGAACTGCCTGTGTCTGCTTTGGATTTGTCTCTGTTTACAAGTAGAGACGAAGCTTGATGCAGGAGGCATTGAGTCAGGACCAGAAGAACGTGGGGCTGTTGTGGATCCCAGACGTTCTGCGGGGAAGAGTCTGGCTGGATAACCATTAGATGTTGAAAGCAGGCATTGCAGCCTAAATAGTCTCTGGTTAGAGTCTTGCAGTGACGTTCCTATGAAAACAGCCGGTGTAGGTGTGTCCTTCCTTAACGTGTTTGAGTTTCACTGAAAGCTAGTTAAACCCAGGCTTGTTGGAATCTATGCCTAACGCTTCCTTAGGAAACTACGCAAAACGCGCTCTCCATCCAAATGTTTAAGGGGGGTTTAACGAAAGTTGTCTCGATTCTTTTTACCACCCTGAAAGACGTGATCAGCCCTCATGGGATGTATAAATACGGGGTATGTCGTATGTACAGCTTTGCGCCGTGCTCCTCCTTGCACCCAGCTCGCCTGAGTGACATTTTCAGTTCCTAACTTAAGTTTTCCCAAACTACAGAGATCGGCCAGCAGAGCTTTGTTCTGTTATTACAGGGTATAAAGCTGTGGGGAGGGTGTTGCTATTTTGTTGTCGGGGAGCCGGGGTCATCTCGGGCCGGGCTCCGGCCACGGTGAGGGGTGTGAGGGCTGCGGGACTGAGCGGGAACCCTTGGAGAAGCGTGCCCGCTGGAGCCGCCCTGACAAGCCGCCCCGGGGAGGGGTGTGAGGGCAGGAACCCGGCCCGAGAAACCCACGGGCACGGTGCGGGGTCTGAGGGCGGCAACCTGGCCCGAGAAATCCCCGGGCACGGTGAGAGGTGTGAGGGCAGGAACCCGGCCCGAGAAATCCCCAGGCACGGTGAGGTTGGGAACTCAGCCCGAGAAATCCCCGGGCACGGTTAGAGGTGTGAGGGCTGCTGGCGTGAGGGGAGCCCTGGCAGCCGCGCTTTTCCCGGGAATCCCGCCCTCCACGCGTGCGCTCTGCCCGCTTCCCTGCCCCTCCGCCGCCGGCTGAGGGGAGCGGGCGCGGGGCGGGGCGGGGCGGCCAGAGGGGCGGCTATGGTGGCGCGGAGCTCCCCGCCTGACACTCCGGCCCGGCCATGTGGTGCCTGCACTGCAGCTCGGAGCGGACCCAGTCGCTGCTGGAGCTGGAGCTGGACAGCTGGTGAGCGCTGCCGAGGACTGCGGGGTGGCCCCCGCGCCGCCGCCTCACAAAGGGCTCCGCGCCGCCAACGCCGCCCCTGCCCGGGCTCGCTATGGGGCGGTGTGGGAGGATGGGATGAGGGGATCCTGCTGGCTCCGGGGGCACCCTTTTGTCCCTGGGGATTGTTCCTGGGCTCACCCCTGTTGTCCCTGGGGGTTGTCTCTGGGCGTTATTCCCGGGATCGCCCCCGCGGTCCCTGGGAGTTGTCCCTGGGGTCACCCCCTCTGTCGCCGGGATGTCTCCGGGATGTCCAGGTCGGGAGCTCGTTCTCCGTGTCCCGGCTCGGGAGCGGGGGCAGGCGGGGGCTCTGTCTGCCCTGCAGGAGCCGAGGGTTAAATGATCTCCGTGGTTTAAGCGTCCCAAGCGGTCCCGCTGCGCTGCGCTGGCTGTGGGTGACAGGCAGAGCCATAAATCGGGAGCTGTGGCTGCGGGCTGTGAGCTGACCTGGCGTGTGCCGCTCCAGACACCCATGTGTACACACTGCTTTTCGGGAGAGAGCAAGGAATCACATGATTTGTGTCAAAACAGTGTGAGTTTACTTCAGAGGTCTGGTACAGGCTGTTCCCGGTGTCCGGGGCCGGCCCCGAGACCTGGCCTTGTCCCGGCTGCATGGTAAGGTGTGTCACGCTCAGAGGGGTAAATCAACATTTGCCACTCGTGCCCTCAGCAAGAAAATAAGATAAAAGAAAAAAAAAAGTTTCGTTCAAAGGCCTTTAAAGTACAGGCATTTGAATAACTGACACAGGAGAAACAGGGAGTGGGATTTGTCATGTTAAGATACAGTCCCTATTGTAATGATCTTGTTAACTACCGAAATAATGCGTGCAAAAACTACAGCAACGCAGAACTCTGTTCATGAGCTTCCTGAAAACTCCATACACTAACGAGATTTTTTCTGGTGTGGGTTTATGATAAACTAAAAAAGTTATCCTGTACTTGCAGTGCACTTGCAAAAGGAATTTATCTCCGATGCATTGTGGAAGTTTATTCCACCAAGTAATTCAGCCAAATGCTGAGCTGTTCGACTGTTAAAGGAATATTCAACTTAGCTAAAGATAGAAAACATCTTAAATTGGGTGTGGGCATGTGTGGAAAAATATAAAAGGAGGAAGTGACTGGATTCAGTGTAACTATGTATGAATGCAACAGTTGCTTTTCTAGAAGAGAAAGGCAGAATGTTTTTTGATAAAGAAAAGTGTTTCATAGTACAATTTAGTCATATATTTAATGATCCTAAAGCCCATTTTTTACCCTTAAGGAAAAGAATAATGTAAGTTTCCTGTGTGGAGTTGGTAATGTTTGCTTAAGTGATGTTACCATTGCACGGCTTGCTAAAAACATAATTCATAACAGTTACTTTAGTGACAGATTTGCCTATTACACAGTAACATTTTGTTATTCATCATTGTTTCAGACTTTTTCCCTCCATTTGTACATTGCTCTGCACTTCCTTTCAGTTAAAGTTGATTATTCTGCCTGATGTGCTAAAAGAGGAATTGCTGAGTACTCAGTTTGGTTGGTTGTATTTAACTGCGTCTATTCTTGTGGCAGATATCCTTCATATAATCACAGAATTCATTACATCTATCGAGTGCTTTGGGAGAACTACAGCCATGCTGAATAAAATGACCTATTTTCCATTTTACTTTTACTTTTGTACCAGGTTTGGTTTTGCTGTTGAGATGTCCTGTTCTAGTTCCTGAAAGATATTGAGAGTACTGTTACAAAGTAGTCAGCTGGGCTTTTTTTCTTCTGATAAAACGGAAGCTCAATGTTCGGGTTTCCCATGTGAAGTCATCTATCATCCTTTATTTTTCCTATTTCTACTAATCTGAAATAATTAATTATCACCCAAGATACTGTAATCCAAGATCTGGAGCTAACCAGTGAAAAACAGTGCTCCGTGTATCAACAGCATTCAGTTTCTTTGCCCCTTTAGAAGCCCTCTGGGAATCCTGGTGCAGTTAATAAACAACTTGCAGTTCAGTTTCATGGAATAATTTGCAGCTTTCAGGCAAGGAAATCCAAGGATTCCGTTTTTCTCCTGAAAAGTGCAAATACCAAGTTGAACAGTAACTCTGATTTGTTGTTGCTGTTAGTCTTGTATTGGGAGGTTGCAGGGACTGGATCCAGGGAGTGCCTGCTGGGCAAGGAGACCTTCTCTGCCTTCACCAGTGGTTTGCAGCGTGTTCTTCTGGAGAAATGAAAAGTGATTTCTTAGGATTTCATGGCCCTTACATGGGTTTTCTCACCCTGTGACCGTTCCATGTTTCCAAAATGAAAAATCTTTCAGGAGAATCTGTTCATATGGCTGTAGAAAGTGTTCCTCCCAATCCCGGCTCTCCATGAGGAGAATACTTTTCCATAGCTTGGAGGCTGGGGTTGTTTCATGCCTTGGAGGGCCTCAAGGGCAGTGCAAGGACTTTGGGTGGAACAGCTCCTGTGAAACAGTTTACCTTTACACTGATGATGTTTTCCCTGGAGTCTAAAGACTCCAGTTGAAGGCTCCAACTCTGTGGAGAGGCAAATCTCATCACAGTGTAGCTGATTAGCACACTTGGGTGATTGTCTAACGATGCCTGCAAAGCTGTGCCTGCCCTGAACACCAGTGAGAAGGAGATGAATAATCAAAGCTGGCCTAGAGGTAGTCAGTGCCCTGCTGGTGGGTGCCAGCACTTGTGGATGTTACCTGTAGGTGTTAAACAGCTCCTCACAAGTTATGTTCCTTGGTGTTTAGCACCAGTGGTGTTCAAAGCCCAGCAAAAGCTTGGGACACAAGAGCTGGAAGTGAGGAGTTGCTTTCTGAGTGAGCCATGAGGTTCCCAGTTCCTGCAGGATTCTGAGAGGTGCAAAGGAGAGTTTAAGATACTGTATTTTTGAATATTGAATTTTTAAAAAAATTGTGAAGCACCACAGCCTGAGTCTGGGCTGTTGTACGTTTTCTTTGCAAGGACTTACCATCATTCATAAAAGTCTTTCAGGATGAACATTTTTTGCTCCTTCAGCATTTACATGGTTCTTCCTCTGTTAGACCTGATGGTAATTTTATCATTAATTTCAGAGTCAGGCATATTTTAATCACAGCAGCTGTCAATAAATAATTTCTTTTTATGTTTATTTAATAACAGAACTGCAGGAGACCTCAGAAACTGTAACAGAGGTGGAATTCTGATTGCTCTGTTTGTTACATTAAATTTGTGAGGATGTGCCCCTAACCTAGACACTGCCTGATCCACAGAGCAACGGGAATTATGAGGAGGTGGCTCATGAATTAGAGGGGAAAGTGTGTTGGTGCATTGCTTTTGTGAACCATCCTTTGTTTAGATGTCATTTGTATTTAAACAGGGTATGGGCCACAAGCCAAATTCATATTCCTGAGCTTGCTGCTTTATTTCTCTTGCCTTGGAAGGCTGTATAGTTACAAGAGCAGAATCAGCCCTGTGTTTGGGGCTAAAAGTTCACTTTTAGTGTCCTGTATGTTGCCATTTTATGTCAAAAATTACGTAGACACGGATTTTGTTTAATTAATGCATCTTTGTTGTGCAAAACCAGTTACTGATCACAGACTTTTTTAGCAAGACTTATTAATAAAAAAATTTTACTTACGTAGCCCTTCTCGTGTCTTCTGGGAATCCATTTGAATTTTGTTTAGGTTCCATTTAGGGTACAGACAGAGATGGCAACTTCTCTGCACTGCTGTGATTTGACTCCAGGTTTCCAGAGAAGAACAGATGCTGCTTTAATCCACTGTAGCACAAAGCCCCAGTATTACGTTAAAGGGGAATGCAAATTTAGCTAAATAAATCCTTTTGCTTCCTTACAATAGACAAAAGACTAGAATCCTTCTCATGAAATAATTGTAGAGATGTCTTTAATAAAAATAAAGTAAAAAAGACAAGCTTTGGTATGATTTAAAAAATCAAACCATTTAGTCCCTGTGAGAGAAGCAGAAAATTAGAATGATGGCTTTGATAGCCTTTACTACAGGAAATTGATGTATTATATCTGTTAATCAGATTCTCTCAGTAGTTCAGTGTCATCCCAGTTAACTTGTGCTTATAAACAAAGGACACAATTGCCGGTTGCCTTCTGCTGTGCAAGCACAAACAAAATGCCACAGCTACAATCTGACTTCCATTCACATCAGTGGCTACATGCAGGGCATGGCCATAGAAAAAGAATCCTATGCTTCTTTTGAGGGATGCTTGCATTGTTTAGGCCAAAAAATTCCAGTCGCCCCTAAAACTCACCAGATTAACAGGGATGGATGTGTCATGAACAAAGAAAAAAAAAAGCACCATCCTTCTGTTTGTTAATATATCCATGACCTTTCTAGTCATCCTCACACATGGCAAAGGCAGCAGGGATGTGAAGCTGCTGGGTTTTCTGTCGCAGGGAAAGTTTGCAGCCAGCCCTGACTCTGCACTACAGGAGCATTCACAGTTTGGTTTTAATTTAATTTTCACTCCCTGCCTTTATGGCAGAATGGACCCAGCTCCATCTCAGATCACACGGAGAGTTGGAAATGGCAGTGGCAGCTGGACCCTGAACTGGATTTAACTGGAGTGCAGTGATGCTTTTTAGTAGCCTGGAGTGGGAATGGTTGTAGGAGAGACCCTTCAGTTGTCATGGTCAGGCTGGGACAGGCCGTGTCAGTGCCTGCACAGAATTCGAAGGGTTTATCCATGGGGAGGAATGGATGGTTTAGTTGGAAGCTGTCCTGCCTTTAAAGATAGTACCAGAGACAAAGTTTCCCTCCGTGTTTAGGGGTTGTGCTCAGGAAGTCATCCTTCAAACAAGAGAGATAGCAGTGTTCCTGATCCAGCTGCAGTTCCCAGGGACCTAAGTATGGAGAACAGGCCTGCAGAAATCCCTGACCTTCTGGTTGTGTTGCAGCCTAAGAATAGGTTTTCTCTCAGTCGAACATCACTCGGTGTTCTCAGTCTGGAATAAAATTGTCTTTATTTTTCTTTCTGTGTGCTTCTTCATTATCGTAATGCGCTGTGAAATGGGTGTTGAATTTCCATTCTAGAGGTGTCTGGGGTGATTCTCATGCTTCAAAGTCACTTTCTCACAAGGTGATAAATGTTAGATAATCTGAGCTGTTCTTGGATTCATGAAAGGAAGTTCATTATTTTTTATTTATATTTGCTTTTCTTGTATTTTACTCTGTGAGTCTTATTTGGAAGATACCAGTGATGTAGAGCATTTAGTAGGAACTGGTTTCAAGAAGGAGTTGATCAAGATTTGAAAGAATGGGACTTCACAGCTGTTAGTTTCCTGTTAATACTAGTCATTAATGCCTTGTGAAGTGAGAGAGAACAGAGGATTACTTGGACTTAATGGAATTTGTCCCAGATGATGACAACGTGATGCAAACTTGGTTTCTTTTTTTGTTATTAAAAAGTGCTTAAGGTGTTTTTGATTAGGTTAGCCTAGAAGAAAAGTATTCCCGATTTTCTTACCACAGTGCAGCATGTTACAAGACCACTTCCTTCTGTCATTGGTTGAGATTTTCAAATCTGTCTTTGCACGATACCACATTTTCATTTCACAAAATAGTGACCCTCATTTCAGGAACTGGGCTTCTACCCCTTTCCTAAAAGACACTTTTCCATTGTGGAAATATCTGTGAACTTTGCTGTGATGAGGAGCCCATAGATGACCAAGAGTTACCCGAGCTGTGTTTTTAGACTCATGTTCTGGTGCGGTTGAGCAGCCTCATGTGCAGCCCCAGCTAAGCCAAGCTGCATCCCCATCACAGACACTGTCACAGAATATTCCTGAGCTGGGATGGAGCCGCAGGGATCCTCAAGTCCAACTCTAAGCAATAGACAGTGCAGAGTGTGGGTGGTTCTGGAAGCCAGCAGTTCTGGGCAGCTGTGCTGCACCCAAAGGAAGCTGCAACATGCCCTGCACAGCCCAGAAACCGCTCCTCTTCTCTGTATGTGCAGTAAAAGATTTCCAAGGCAGGAATTGCTACCTGTGTTACTCTTTTATTGTCATCAGTGAGGTGAGTCAGAAGTTCTACTGAAAGCCTACACTTAATTCCTCTCTGACAGAGAAAGAGCTGTAAAATGTATAGACTCAGCATAATGGGGAGGAAATGTAAAAGGAAGGAAATTTGTGAATGAGAAAAAGCATCTGTCAGCTCTTTAGCTGATTTAGAGGTTATGAGCAATCTTTTGAGGTCTCGTTTCTACAGAAGTATTTATGTGTAGCGTCTTTGAGTATGTCTGCAAACACCTTCTGTGTTTGAACACATTGCCTGGAATCTGAGAATCATCTACAACAGTGTCTCTTCCACCAAGCCCCATACTTTCAACAAAAAATTCTCCTAGGCTTTGGTTTCCTTAAAGATATAAACCTTGTGATATAAACCTTGGGTGTGCAGCAGAGAATAAAATTTCCCTTTTATGAGGATGCCT